TAGTAATAATTATTCCAACTTCGTGACGCGGGAGTGGTTGCCCATTTTCCCGAGCTGGGGGCTCAATAAACTAAAAAAAACTACCTAAGTACAAAAATAACTTGAATATATATATAATAGTTCTAACGACTACAATTAATTTATTCGTTACTCTTTAACTGGCCCTCAGTCACTTCTTGTATAGATTTCGCTGTGCTCGATACTTGTGCTACTCGGTCAGGACCTCTGACCGATATTCTCTCAGTATTGCTGCGCGCAGGTAATAAGATAAATATACGTATTGCAACAGAGTAAAGATCTTCAAAAGGAGCTGAGAAGTCATACAGACGGTGCGATTACAGAAAAGAATGAAAAACACAAAGACAACGGCGACATTACAACCTGTTAATGAAATAACGCTGAACGTAGTCAACGTACCTTGGTCGACGCTCCAGTCTCGTCAACAGGGCTTGGTTGTGGAGGTTTGTAAAATGGATCCCGTGTTTGCATTAGTTCCATAAGGCGTTGATAAGAGCCGTTTTCGGGTGGAAAACGGTTTCTCTGCGACGTAAGCCATGATAAGTGGTTAATTGTGTTTCATTTTATTACAAATTCGTGCAAAGTGTCGTGTTAACCAATTAGAGCAAACCTCTTTTCCAACTAATAATAGCATATTTTCCCACGCTTGGCGCTGGTCGCAGGCTTTCCCGCGCTTGACACTGGATGTTGCTACCTCAAGCCCTTAGTTTTTTTGTCTGTTATTTGCGTTATTGATAGCCAGATTTTTGTTTTACGACAGTCATCAACACTGAACGGTAATCGCGATGTTCAGTGATAAAGATGAGAGTACAAGGATCCGATAACTACAAACGATTTGTAAAGTTTCCCGTTCAGCATTGTCATCTTTGTAGTGTATGTCTGGAGCTGAATGGCGGCTGTTCATTCAGATAAAATTAAAAGCACCTGGGGTACAGCTTATTTTTACAGATAAAGATTTATACACACGCTGTGTTCTGCTGAATTACTTACACTCATTGAAAGCCTCATGAGTCCTGTTGGTTTACCAGATGACGAAACCTCTGCCTGTCTTTGTATAGAAATAAGAAAAGCCTCCACTCCTATTTCACCAATTTTATTCCCTGCAATGTGAAATAAAGTTAACATGAGTTACTTCTTCAAGGCTGCATTTAACAAAATACCCGAAAGAATGACATTTTCAAATAACGAATCCTTGAAATTTGCTGCTTTAGGCCCGGCCATTAGGGTGTGTCGTCAAACTGAAAGAAGTTGGGGGAGGCGTGGTGGTCTCATGGTTAGTGCGCTCGTCTNGCGAATTTAATGCTGGGGGGTAACCCTGCGATGGACTAGCATCCCATCAAGGGCAAGTAGAAATACTCCTAGTCGCTTTATGCTACAGAAACCGGGATAAGCTCCAGCCTCATGAGCCACTTAGCTCATATGCATACTTTGCCTCAAAAGTAAGTAAGGATGCAACTCTAAGGAAAGTACCTAGCGTGTATCACAAAGAACTTGTGGCTAACACGATTATCGACGAGAAAAACTTACGTGACAAGTTGAGGTTAATAAGCGCTCTGTTTCCAGGGATAATAATTTCACCATTCTCTTCCTTGATAGGATGTTCAAGGAGTGGATTAGGAAACTCCACGACTTCTGGTTGCTACAAATAAAAAGTATAACAAATGCTTAGAATAACAACACAGGTAAATCATGGATGATGCTACAAAAATTTCTTAGGTGTATGAAAGAGATAACACATTTACAGAAGAAAATGCACACACTCTTAAATTTGAAAGACAAGTTTCGGATACTCGATACTCTGTATCCATCGGCCGAGATACGGAGTATCCAAAACGTGTCTTTCAAATTTAAGAGTGTGTGCATTTTCCTTAAATGTGTTACTAACAGGTAAATCAGTAACTAAACTCCCCCAATATATGAATGGGTAATAAGGGAGATTTATGATTGTATCAAGGTCTTACGTCATGAACCGTAGGTTTCACCTGTAGCGTTCACACCCGTAGCAAACTTGTTTCTTTTTGGGTGGGTTGTATCAAGGGCCCATTAAACGTACTTTTTCAGCTGTTACGGGTTGCGGCCCTTATTGACAGCCCTGCAGTTTATTGAGGAAATTTCTTTCCCGTGTACTTGCGCTTGAGATACAAGAGAAGCAATAACAATCGATTGATCACCTCCTGTTCAGGTTGTTGCACTTTCTTGTCTCCCTTCGTATTCGTTACTTTCTTTCCTTTACCAACGCTCTTGTTGATAGTTTCCGTGGAGCCAACTGCGTGTCAAAACACATTCATCAACGTATTACATTTTCGCACTGGAACTTAATTCGTTTATTCCTCAGTTACAGCGGTTTTTAATTGAGTGTCGAAAGTGATCAGACAATTACTTTGGTTTTGGCTTTACTACGGTTTGAGATTGGCTGAGTAGTCTAATTGGTAAGTAATTGGTTTGATTCACTAAGTTGAAAACCACTCTAAACGAGGTGACGAAAACATAAACAAACAATTTGTGTGTGGCGCGGCATGAGTGGAGGTAGGCGGGACTGAAGATCTCGGAAGCCTCCTTCTGTCGCCGCGCGAGGATTCGCGCCTCTCGTGCGCTTGAATTAGGACCGCACAACACAACATGCTCAAGTGGGAAAGAGTGTTTATTGCCGTTTCAAATATGAGGGCCGTCTTTGGGTAACCATTTGAAGGAAGAGTGGAGACTTAAATACTTTGAGAAATTCCAAGCTATGGCCTTTCCCTTTGAGCTATGCCCTATTATAAACTTTTAATAGAAATGTCAAATCCTTCTGAACAAGGACAGACGGTTGTTTCACGAATTAAACGCAATTCGCAATTCGAATTAAAATTCTGTTTCTGTCTGTTGTCCTACTTACTTTTCTTCGCTTTTTCTGTTTCTTGCTTTTTTGTGTCCTGGAAAACAAACATTCCAATGAAATGTAATTGTTAGCACTGAACATACATGTGCACAGCTATTTCAGATTAGCTCGACTAGTGATTTTGCTACAAAGTGAAAATCCTTGACAAAGAAGCAATAATTACATTGCCACCGTGCTCCCTGCAGAAACTCGTTTAGAAGCAATGCGATCCAGTTACACTTAAATTTAGAGTTGGGCCTGGGCGTCGGTTGCAGGTTTTCCCGCGCTTGGCGCTGGTCGCCTATTTCCTCGCGTTAAGCACCGGTTGCAAGTCATGGACCGAAGTGTTGGAACCCCGTGGGGGAAGGAAGGGGGTACTCCCAGAAAAATTGGGTGGGGTTGNCATGTCCAAAAATACGCAAATAATTAAACAATTCAGTTTTAGTACAAAACAGTTACCTAAATCACATGATATTACAGACTAAATGAACCTTTCAAAGGATACAAAATTAAAGATTTATTCAGTTTAAAAAGTTGTCATAAACACTCTTAATTGGCATAAGTAAAAATGTATAAATACTGGCCATAATTTATATAGCTGGTTTTGGACTGGAACTAGCTTGGAGGCTCACGCGGGGGAATATCATTAGAAAGAGATTACTGTCGTCATATGCATTTGGACAGACTCCCGCATTAGCCTGATCAGTTGCAAGCTTGTTCTAGTCCAATACAAAGAACATGAAAATGGTCTAGCTATTACATGTATTCAAAATAGCTGTACAAAGTAAACTGTTGCATGCTTGATGCTTACGTGCTTTCTTCGCCAAGAAACGCTCCGTATCTTTGAAGGGTGACAGGGTTGTTATCAAGACACAAAGTTCTGTAAAACAAATACATCAATCAATAAATGCCTCCTTCCCTCTGATTAGTCATGAATATGTTTTACCTTTAAGAACCACAAGCCTGCATATAAGGTACAGAAGCCTAATAGCTAGACATTAGCACATGAGTCAAGTGGCCAGGGTTTAAGCCCTGCTGAAGTCACTATGTAGTGGGCAAGCTAGGACACATAAACCTCTTGGTCAGTGCCTTAGTCTCAGAATTATAAATAGGTATCAGCAAATTGTTGGGACCACTATAATGGAGTAAAATCTGTGTCATGTTTTAGTAGAATTCTACTGGTACACTAATGTATTTAATGCTGCAATCTGATTGGGGAAACTGTACCATCAGCTCCTATCTAAATAATTGTATATTTTGAATAGAGTCTGTGAATTAATAATTTAATAAAAATAACTGAATGAACATTCTAAAACATGGAAATCGAAATTTACCTGAGATTAGGGAGAAGAGTAACAACATGAGTGGCTAGAGTGTTTAAACTGTTGTCCTGAAGCCCAGTGTTCCAGAAACTAGTCAAAGCAAAATATAGAATACACAGTTAGCATGAAGAAAGTGAAGCCTTTCCTCTGATGCAAATCTTTATGCTGGTCAAAAATATATTTATAAAATTAGAATGTTGGTCGATGGCCCCTCAAATAATGACTTGCAGCAGGGCTGGGCAGATTTAATACTTATTATAGTAGGTAGCCCACAAAAATCTAAATCATAATCTACAATCCTATTTTATTAATATTTGTCACCAATTGTCAGTGATGCAAACATATAGTTGAATTGAAATACATGTGCTTTATAAAACAAAGACAGTACATGTATAAGTTGTCATTTTTCCTGTGATCTCACAATCAGTGACATTACATTAAGTAAGATCCTTCAATACAAGTTTTCGATGTTGCTTAGACCTGATTTGAAGTTTTGAAAACTTCTGGCTAAAAGTTTTAAGTAGTTACCCCCAAAACTGTAGTATTAATGTGACATAAATTTCTAGTAATACTCACTCAATTGTAGTTAACTTCTCCAGTGGAGGTAATGTTACAGTTAAGATATTTAAAATTCTATCATCTATTTTCCATCCTAGATTTAAACAATGAAAATATCTCAAGATTAAAATTATGCTATAAAAAAATTAATAACTAAATAAAATAACCCAATTAGGAATGGCATATTTAAAAAGAAATGTTATTAATAATTGCAAGCACGTGCACCCAGTGAAATGCGAAATGACTACATAGATCTGAAAAAAGTCACAGTATTTAAAGGTTATGAATAACCAAATACCATCATGTTAGGAAAACTTAAAACCAAATTAATAATTCACCTCACCTCGAATATAAATCTCCTTGATATGAGACTTATTTCCGTCCTCTTCAGTTTCAACCTCCACTCTGGGTTTAAAGTAATGATATTTTTCTTTGATATTATATGTTGTGGGTGGTTCTTCAGTTTCATTTCCAGGAATGGTTGCTGTTTCATCAACTTTACTACTGTCATCTTTCTTGTCAGCTGTAAAAGAACCAGATGCAGATTATTAATGGAGCTTGTTAGCCAGGCATCTCAAAAGCGAAGACCTAAGACCCGTCTGAATCTCAAAAACTAAGACCTAAGACCCCATGCTGAATTTCAATTGAGAGGGAGAGGAGATTCAGGGGTCTTAGATCATAGGTCTTAGTTTTTGAGACATCCCTTGTTGGCCAGTGCTGCACAGCGCATATCCTTAACTTATTTAGTGCATGCAGTGACCAATATCATGATAATCTTAGAACTTTACATTAATTAGAATGTTTACCAACTTGAAATTGAAATTTAATCTACAAGTTCCTAAAAACTCTTGTTTCTGGAGATATTACGTATTTACAATTAAAAACAAGCTAAACTCTCTAGTGCAATTTCAAAAAAGACTCCTCACAATAAAGCACTAGTTACTAATAACTGGGCCAAAACAGAGTTATAATGGCATACTGTCTTTCTTGTCCTGCTTTCCTACAGGGGTGTTATCTTGGGGTATGACATTTGGTGTCGGTGGGCGATGAGGTCGTGGAACGACTTGCATGTTTGGGAAACCTGCTCTTGTACATAATTCACAAAAATCCACTTCGAAGTTCCCTGTTGGAGTGTAAGGTTCTAGAAATAAAGCAAAAACCTGATTAAAACTACAGGTTTCTATCTGCCCAGTATTAGCCCAAAGCACAATTTCCAAACTTCTTGCAAAACACATGTAACACCGTTCAAAACATTTTCCACTTTTACAGAATGGAGCCTGTAATACACAGATCTGCATGTAGCCTATTTTAAGCTGTCATAATTTTATTTGTCCCTTTCCGCTGGAAAAATCCATCGTGTTAATNTCCTCTTCAGTTTCAACCTCCACTCTGGGTTTAAAGTAATGATATTTTTCTTTGATGTTATATGTTGTGGGTGGTTCTTCAGTTTCATTTCCAGGGATGGTTGCTGTTTCATCAACTTTACTACTGTCGTCTTTCTTGTCAGCTGTAAAAGAACCAGATGCAGATTATTAATGGAGCTTGTTAGCCAGACATCTCAAAAGCGAAGACCTAAGGCCTGTCTGAATCCCAAAAACTAAGACCTAAGACCCCATTCCGAATTTCAATTGAGAGGGAGAGGAGATTCAGGGGGTCTTAGATCGTAGGTCTTAGTTTTTGAGACATCCCTTGTTGGCCAGTGCTGCATAGCGCATATCCTTAACTTATTTAGTGCATGCAGTGATCAATATCATGATAATCTTAGAACTTTATGTTAATTAGAATGTTTACCAACTTGAAATTGAAATTTAATTTACAAGTTCCTAAAAACTCTTGTTTCTGGAGATATTATTTATAATTAACAACAAGCTAAAATCTCCAGTGCAATTTCAAAGAAGATCTCTCACAATAAAGCACTAGTTACTAATAACTGGGCCAAAACAGAATTATAATGGCATACCGTCTTTCTTGTCCTGCTTTCCTACAGGAGTGTTATCTTGGGGTATGACATTTGGTGTCGGTGGACGATGAGGTCGTGGAACGACTTGCATGTTTGGGAAACCTGCTCTTGTACATAATTCACAAAAATCCACTTCGAAGTTCCCTGTTGGAGTGTAAGGTTCTGGAAATAAAGCAAAAACCTGATTAAAACTACAGGTTTCTATCTGCCCAGTATTAGTCCAAAGCACAATTTCCAAACTTCTTGCAACACACATGTAACATCATTCAAAACATTTTCCACTTTTACAGAATGGAGCCTGTAATACACAGATCTGCATGCAGACTGTTCTAAGCTGTCATAATTTTATTTGTCCCTTTCCGCTGGAAAAATCCATTGTGTTAATTTTAATCTTGCTCTTAACAGTAACTGACAAATAATAATCCATGACAGCCAATACAAAATGTTCTAGGTAGTACCTGTCAAACTAACACGTACTCTTACAGCACTANGTTACATAAGACATATTTTCTTTGTCATAATTTGTCCAGAAACTTATAAAATATATAACTTGTTTTCTGAAACATGCAAAAACTGTACTGGCAATGAGTGTTAGAAAAGGATTATGAGGATTAGGTTAGAAAATCTCTGTCACTTTGCAAGTAAACAAAAGGTACTAACTATAGTGAGTTTAATCAGAGAATACCTCATCTTAATTAGCATTGAAGCAAGCCCCAATTAGCTGCTGGTCAATTTATAGGTCATGCCATGTGAATGAAAGATTGAAAAAATGTTATCAAACTTCATTTAAGTGTAATTTAAGGTGGTTATATACGACGACTATGACTGCAGTGGAAGCAGTAGGAACCCTGGCCAGATATTAGACTTCAAATTCACACCGCAGCACATATGGAACCCATTTATATATATTGATGAAAACTCATGTCCTGATTCAATCTATTGGTGCCTGGTTAGATAAATTGAGTCAGCATGGTTTCAAGTCTTCAATTTGTATCATGATTACTACCAATGGAGCCAATATACATGTAACAGGAGAACTGCATCTACAGGTATGAGGAGAATATGCATTAGTATGTCCTATTAGACTAATTATTATCAGACATGTTGGTGCGTTTCTCCACAAACTGGATCAAGTTAAACTTTGGAATTTTGATGCCAACTAACTGCTTCTGAGGGCAGGACCCTGAGCTTGACAAGCTTAGCTTGCCAGTAAGTTAGTACATGAAGATTTACATAGGTTGTAACAAAGGGAAACTGCCATGATGAATTGATCATGGCCCCTAGCTTATTTAAGTAACTGCAACAAATTTGGCAAATAAGAAAAATGTTTTTAAGGTGAAGAAGCTGGTTCATTATTATTCTTCTAATGACATTAGAATTGACTTGATATTACTCCTTGATGTTCTTCCATAACAAGTTGCCATATAAAGGTTGAAGTGGCCTGATTCTTCAATAGTTCACGGATGAGAGCGAATGGAGTCTAAGCTGAAAATACTTAATGAATAAGTTTTATCCTCAACTGCAAATTAAGATCAGAATATACAATATCACCACTGCTGTCAAGTGTTTCCCATGATTTGAGGTCAGTAGTTTTTTTTATTAGTCTACAATTTATTTTTGTCATTTCTTCTGCCAGTTAAACCACAGGTAGCCCAAGCTCGATATATAAGAAGCTCAATTTGTTTTGGACCTCTCTACTGTCACATAATTAGCGTGATTTGCATATTTACAAGGGGAGGTTATGGGGAGAGAAATAGAGCCGAAAATTGTGAAAAATTACTGTTGAATTTTAATAAAATTGCTTACCTGAACTCCAGTGGTGGTTCTCTCGTGTTCAGTGTGGTTTTCTAGCGGATTTGTTGCATTTCCATAGAGTTAGTTCCACCGTTTGCTCTCTCTTTCAAAATTTTACCAGGGTTGGGTGCTTGAGCCAAAAGCCGAGCAGACCACTTGACGGAAAGCGGCCGTAAAATCCCCTCAAGGCCTCTGATTGAATCCAAATTTCATGTAGAACACAAACAACAGTTCTACTATCCAATTAACTCTTCATCAGAGATCCATCTTCACAGAAAGGGAATTACATATGTAAGGCTTGCCAATTTCTGAAGACTTTTCTGAAGACTTTGGCAGAGACATTATCGCTTTGTCGTGTTAACTAAACTGTTGCAAGAAAGCTAAGTGACCAAGCCTCGGCTCAGATTTCTTACACACGTGGAGGGTGACAGTCTGTTGTTCATAATACTTAGTATTATTGTCATTCTCGCCCCATACAAACCCTTATAAACATGCAAATCACACAAATTACATGACAGTACAGAGGTTAACAAAAAAATTGAGCTTCTCATATATCAAGCTCGGGCTACCTGTGGTTAAACCAGAAAAATTGCCAGTCTTTTCTTAATTAACTTACTCATCTCCTTTCTGATTGCTGATTATGATTCTATTCTATAATTTAGTGGTTAAAGGTGGCTTCAAAAGAATTTCAGCCCATAATTTTTTTGGGACTGGTTGGAGTGACACAAGTTGCTGGAACCCTTATAAAACCTGTCCTTTCTTTCACAAATTTGTTCCAGTTACTGATCTCTGTCGTTTCCATAGGTCACCTTGCTCTCTAGAATTCAGATTACATGTCATAGTTTTTCTGTAGTCACAAATCAAGGCGTAATGATTGGTATAATTTTATATTTATTTTCATAGGTTACCTTATTAGCATGCTTCCTGCAGGGACAAGCAGTTATATGGTTATGGCACACAAATAAAGTTGTTGTTGCTGCTGTAGAATCCAAGAAGTCAAGAGCCTTGTTTGAAAATTTGAGACGGAGAATGAGATGATTTTGGACTGTCAGATAAAAAAGAAACATACAAAAATGGGACCCTGNGGGGGGGGGGGTACTCCCTTATTTGGGCTATATAGGTATGTGCAGCCCCAAAGGGTAGGGTTTTTCAGCTGTTTTAGTCATAAATAGGGTATCGATTTTGGCCATTTTGGTTATAAATAGGGTATGGTTTCAGCACTCTAGTCTTTAACTGGGTATATTTCTTAGAAGAAGCTACTTTTTCTTCGTTTTCAATAAGAACATCAACAAAAGCCCTTGATAACTTAAGTCTAAGGCAACTGCGCCAGCCGCAATGGTCATAAATAGGGTATTGAATTTTTGCCCAGGTCATAAATGGGGTAGGAAAAATTGCAGATTTTGGTCATAAACAGGGCAAGGGTTTTGGGAAGTGGGCTGCACACCCTCACCCAACTTTTCTGGAAGTACCCCGTCTCCCCTGGGGACTCATCATGAAAGATTCCAAGATTCTGAGATTCAAACAAAGTGTCTGAAAGTCACGAATTTCTAGTCACCAACTGCTAACCCTCAGAACCCTTAATTGTGATATAAAATGTATCTGAAATATTTCTAACATAACAGGTTTGTACACTGTACAAAAAACAACTTGCGTCACAGAAATTCATTCTTTACCCTGAAAATTCAGCTGAAGATGGTCACTACTCAAAATTGTGACAAGTTAGGGTCAATGTACTCACTACAGCCTAAGCTGAGCAGTCGCCAAGGGAATATAAATTTATAAAAGAAAGTACAAGTTAAATTGCTTGACTCTATCTAGTCAATTGATCATATCTTGCACATTGATTAGAAAACAGAAGAAGTCGTGGAGCTTTCTGGCTTCAAAAATAAATAATGCACTCTAGATCACCACTTTGTCACCTCACTGTTCGAGCAAATGACTGTATCAGCTATTACAGCACAGCTATCGCATAGCTCATTATAAATACCATTATCTCAGCTTATAATCTGCATGTAAACGGTTGCAGACACCTCCATGTATTACGATCGACAACAAAATTATTTGATGGTCAAGGCAGCGCTCACACCATTCAATTCGCGTGACTCACATTTCTGACAAAATTAAATGACTTGTATACTTGAGCAAAACACGCAGTTACCTCCATACCACATGAAAGTGCTCATGTAATCTTCTTCCTCTTCGATTTCTACCGCAATCGAAAGCCGAGGGCCATTTCCTCGGTCAGATTTCCTCAGCGCGCGCTTCATTCGAGAAACAGAACGTAGCGTTGCAAACATTGTGATCTCATAAGCTACAGATCACATCGGTCAACATAGGTTAAACAGAGTATTCCGTGTCCCTAACAACCTAAATCTTCGTCAGTTTACCATGAAAAGAAAAGATCTTTCTATTCTTGAACAGTAAGTCAACAAAAGTTGACAAGGGACAACAAGTGAACGAATGAATCAATAACTTGATTAAGACCTTTCATTACACAGACGAAATCAATAAGGAAAAAGTAATTGTTCTTGACAGAAAAAGAACGCCGTATTTTCAATAATGACAGTGTCAAAACTGCCATTAGGCTTTATTAACGATTGTTTCAAACGCCGATTGGCCAATATCTCTCAATGACTGGCGGGATCGGACAGTGGAAAAACCGCGGGCAATATCTTTTGGCTGCTTGAATACAACTACTAGTACCACACAGCATTTGAACAAAACATTAAGAAACACAAATTGGACTTTCTTTCTAAATGGAGTGATATATTGTCAAAACTTTTATTCCGATATCCTGGCGCTAAGTGTAATTTCCCAGCCCACGACGTGCAAAGTAAGAATTTCATTCCATTGATTGAGCTCTGACATACGTTCAGACCGACTGGTTTGTTTACCGACAAACAATAACAAAACAAGAGTTCTTAAAAGCCATAAAAAATTCTAGATAATAGTAGTTTATGTTGAGCTAAAGGCGAGTTGAGAAAACAAGTCCAACTAAAAACAGGAACGTTTTACAGGCTACAGAAATTACGTTCACAGCCAACGGAGAAGAAAGCTTACCCAATTCAACAGGCTGTTCTTCACTTTCCTTTGCATTTTCTACAGGCGTTTTATCTCCCGCTCCTTTATCACCAGAATTACTGCCTTTTTCGGTTTTATCAGCTTTATCAGCCTTCTCTGTTGCTGTTTTCTTCGCCATTTCACTTTGCTAAAGACAGCAATAAGTCAGAGAATATCCGCCATGTTGGTTACTGCTACTCAGTCCCCATGGTAACGGAGAAACGGGAATTCATGTCAGCGGTATCTTATTTCGCGCGGTATTCCAAGCGTGGGCTTCCGCGTGGGCTTTCGCGTGTTTGTTCGCGTGGGCTACCAGCCCCAACCTACGTATTCAAGATTTTCTGATTTTCTGATTTTCTTTTTAGACTCATGTTTTTAGTTGAGGTTGTGTTGCTCTTAATGTAAACTGAATTACCGTAATCAAGAATGCCAGGGCAGCTCCTGTGGTGATGGAAGAAAATCAGAGTGACATCGTTTTGTTGACCTGTCGGCTACTGTTTACTATCCGCTCCTTAGAAGGTACAGAAAACTCTAGTTGACCTCACCACTTCCGAACAAGAACATTTTGATCACACCCGCCATGCGAGCCTCATTTTTTTCTAAAAAAAAAAGTTTGAAATTCAAACAGCACTGAAATATAACCAAACACCTTATTGTTGACAAATCCACGGTCAGTTCAAAGTTTAGTTGCAATTGTTACCTCGTATGGTCAGCAACAATTACGGCAGAAAACATTTTATTTTAATCTGAATTTCAATTAATCCACTCATAATTGTTATCAACGCTTTCAAGAGTAGCCTCGGTTAAGTTTTATGGCCTATACAATGTAATTTTTGAAGTTTGTTCGGTGATCTTTCTCTCAATAGAAGACCTGCCACGGTGCTGGTACTTCTGCGCTCGTCACCTCAAGTCGTCTTTATGTTTGACTGCCTCGACCAATCACCGTTAAGCACCTTATACAATGATCTACAAAAAGTAGATGAAAGGAAAATGTCTGAGCTTTCCTGATCGACATTCAAAACTTCAAACGATAGCAACTGACGGGGGAAGTGTTTTGCTATAAAAAGCTGCCGCTCTCGAGGAAACTGATCTAATCATTTTCCCGTGTGAACGACGTTGCGTCACCCACCAGCCGAGCTAGTTGTTTTCTGAACGATAAGTTTTGCTTGGTCATCGATTCAGGGATTAAGTCTGGAGGACTAATTGAACTACGAAAAAAGTTTGGATAACGTTTTGATCTACGCTTTTCACTCTGATCAGTTGAAATCTCCACTATCTTGGCAATAACTAACAAGAACATGGTTTCTACTTGGTCGACTGACATAAGATGGTCTAAGCTTCGCCAATTTGAGTACGGTGAGCCAAACAACCACGCCGGGGAACTGAAAAAAGCTTTGCACACTGCCAGCGACGAAAGCGACGATGAATGGCTGGCTCAGCTCGAAAGAGACTACGCTACAGCGAAGCGAAAACATCGAGCTTATTGGACTTCCCTGGAGCGAGTTCTTGCACTTGCGCTCATAATTTTCATCATTATTACCGTATCTTTAGCTTTTGTTCTGATATATAAACAATATCACATAGCGGTGATATTCGGCAGCAGTGGATACGGTCCAGATATCTGCGAGACCCCAGGATGTGTGGCTGCAACATACAGTATTTTAAATCACGTGGACAAAGCAGTGGACCCCTGCGATGACTTTTACAATTACGCGTGCGGAAACTGGTTCAAGCGCATTTTTATCCCACCGGGTCATTCAAAATGGACCGCTTTTCATCAGGTTTCCGACAACAACCTGATTATTCTGAAGAAGATTCTTCAAAAGGCACACTTTGGTGTTAATGAAACTGCTACGATCTTCAGTAAAGTAAAGGATTATTTCTCAGCTTGCATGAATAAAACCGTGGTCGAAAATCGTAGTGCAGGGCCTCTCAATAAACTTATTCACTTTGTGGGATCTTGGACAATAACCAACGCTTCCGACGTAGGGCCCTGGTCTCCAGAGTCATGGAATTTTGAACAAGCCCTCAGTAGAATTCACAAACTGAAGAGCATGCCTTTGTTTTATATGTTTGTATCGGCGGATGATCGGAACTCGAGTCACAATATCATACAGGTGGGTGTGGTGTACTGCTGGGAAGAGAGTATGCGTGTTCTCTAGCAATAGCTTTGCTTTTTCCTTAAATCGCAATCTTTAATTAAATTAGAGGAGGAAAAATGAAAAGTTTTTTTTTACACAGCGGCTAGCTCTCCTTTGAGCGATATGTGGGGGACTCCGTTATCCCTCAAGCTTACATGATAGAGAGTAAAAAGCTTTGAAAAAAAGAGCAATTTTGCTCTTCGCTACTGGAGCGAATGTTGAAAAAGTACAGACGTGGGCCCTAGTGGACCATCGACGGCAGGTTAACATCAAATACTGTATGAAGATAGGTTGAGAAGAATGCAGTCAATAAGGCTGCTTGTAGAGGTCAGCATCAACAATGACGATAAAACAAGAATTTCAGAACTGCTTAGATGTCACGCAGATAACTCCCAAGTTCACTCCTGACAAGGGTTTAGCCCCGACCAAACGATCGCAACATTTCAACGCAACATATCACAACATTGTTGGGTGCAACATGTTGCGCGCGTTTGGCCACCCTGTTGCGACGTGTTGTGACAATTGTATGTTGCTGGCTCAAATTTGACCATTTTCAAACTTGAACCAACAACACACAGCATATCATGACACGTCGCACCAGGGTGGCCAAACGCGCGCTAGCTGCGCCCAACAATGTTGCGTGGAAACGTTGCGATCGTTTGGTCGGGAGTTACCTACACGTCATGTCCGCTCCGCCTCAGCCAACTCATTGAACCACACCGGGGGTTGTACAGCCCCTGAAATGATCCCGACCCCGAAATGATCCCGACCCCGAAATGATCCCCGTTTTTCTTGTTATCGACCCCGAAACGATCTCCAGTGAAACTTAGGAATGGCAACGAAACATTGGACTATGGATCGCTCCACGATAAAGAAAACTAAAGTCATTTTGGTCTATGTATCGATATGAACAACTAGAAGAGAATAAAAAAATTAAAAAATAAAAGTCGGTAGCGACTTTATGGTAGTATAATTTGTAAAAGTATTTTTGAATACCCCTCCCTTTTTAGGTCCAGCAAGCGGGTATCACATTGTCAGACAGAGATTATTACTTTAGAAACGAATCAGACAAGGTAAATATCATCTTAATATAAGTGGTTTATCCACTCTCTTCTTTTTTGCATGTATGTAACATAAAATAACCCGACACGTGCTTATTCTGACACTCGACGCGTTCGCGGTAGATGACTTCAGTAAATTCTTTAATCACTCTTGCTACTTACTAGGTTTACTAGGTTTACTAGGTTTACTAGGTTGAAAACTTTTTAGCTCAAAAAATGGCAATTACTTGGATGTATGGCAACGCTTTTGGTTGGCATTTGTGAGAACCAGGTTCCATTGAACTCGTGCAACACATTTGGAGATAGAAAACAAACCCTAATGCCACTATAATTACATGTAAAGGAGTTTGGCCGCTTGGCCCCTGTTGTATGATTTTAGTTCAAACTCTAGATAACAACAACAAAAAAAAAACATTGTAACGACTTCAGTCCATAAAGAAAGCATTGATACAATAGTTCAGTAACTGTATAAGGAAAGAATGACCGAAACTCGAGTTCACAGTCTAGTTGAAAAACTGGGATTCATTGATCATTTAGTTGAATGAGTAAACAATTGTTCTACCCAGTCTTGAGCAATAACGTGTGATTTTAGTCAACTCGGCTTACGGTCTCGTTGTCAAGGTATCCATCGTTTATTCCAAACGCTTTTGGCCATAAACTCTCGGGTGTATTTTGTAGGTCCTGCAAGCGTACAAAGAGTTCATGGTAAAGGTAGGTACACTCTTAGGTGGTGAGGCGAATAGCACACGACATCAGATGGAGGAAGTGTTTCAACTTGAGAAGAAACTTGCAGAGATCTATGAACCGAAAGAACGGCTGAGAGACATGGAGAAGATTTATCACAAGATGACGGTCGCCGAACTTCAACAACTGGCGCCTGCGGTAAGAAGTGTTTTTTGTCAACTGCCCAAAGGTTAGAAAGTCTCCTAACTGCTCTTAGTTGGTTCCAGGCGTTCATTTAGTTGAGATTAAAGAGGAAAGGTCGAAAGGCGGTGAGAGAAAGTAGGGTAGGGGTGTGGGGCGTTTTTCCGTCCTGCTATCCTATCCTGTATGTTCTCTCGCTTTTTATTGCGCTGCTCCTCCACTCACTGAATGGCTGGAACAGGGAAAACCTCTCTGGATACATTTCTCTACGTACTCTTGGGAGATCTTTGCTTAAATTAAGATATTTTTGTCACCAATCTGATTAAGTCATTTATTTTTTTTCCAAGGTGTAAAGCTAGAAACAAGGCTCTGGATAAATCGTAGATCATATGGGCACACCAATCGCTGCTATTGGATAGGCATTCTCAGCTAGCCTTTGTGTAATTTTTTTCACTTCTTAGTTAAGCGGAAAAACACTGGGCATTTATTTGGGTGTATTTGACCTCATTTTACTGTTTTATTTTCTGCTTTATAGATTTCATGGTTGGATTACATGAATGCGATGTTTAGCAGCCCAGTCACACATCAGGAGTCTTTGGTGGTTTATACACCGGAGTACTTGAAAAACATGTCCAACCTCGTCATCAGAACAGATCGAAGGTAACTATCATGGTAGATAGCCTAATCGTGTCGCTAACAATATGAAAACAAACAAATGAACGAACGAGCAAACATTCGATTGGCTCAACAAAGAACAAAGTACAAAGTACTTTCCTGGTCGAGAAGAAGGTAGTTTTATAGGCATACAACTGAACTGAAAAGAACTGGATGTAAACTTGTTAAGAGCGCTGACCAGGCACTCTTGGCAGTGTGTGTTAGGTCAGCTCAATGCCACTTACTGTGGCTCAAAGTATGAACCCCTGTTTTTCCTATTTTACTCGGTCCTACCCACAGACGAAAGAGAGGGGCTATTTTTCTTCGTCTCCGAAACTACGATATTACTGATGTAACCTGTTGGAAAAAAACTAGCAGCTTTTCCTTTTCTTTAACCGGTGTGAGGCACTGTTTTCAAATGATTAGTGCGCTGTACTTTGGGTCAATGAGTCTGGATCAAAGCCCTAGTCGTAGTTACTGTGTTGTGTTCTTGGGCAACACAATTCACTCTCACATTGCCACTCTCAAACCACGTGTACAAATGAGTACCGGCGACTTCAATGCGAGCGCTAACCCTACAATGGACTAGCATCCAGTCTAGGGAGGAGAAGAAATACTTCTACTCGGTTAATGCGACGGAAATCGGAGATAAACGTCTGCCTGATGCCTCACTGCGCCCGAACGCAGACTTTACCTTTGAGTGATTTTCATTTTACAGAATCCTGGCCAATTACATGGTGTGGCATCTTATCAAGCCGCTGATAGGAGAGCTGTCCAAACCGTACCGTGATGCATCATTGGAACTGCTGAAAGTGGAGAAGGGGGTGGAAGCTGGAGCCCCGCCCTGGAAAAGCTGTGTCACTAAAACTAACTCAGTCATGGGATTTGCCACAGGTTACCTGTACATAAAGGAACAAGCTGGGAAAAACGCCAAGCAACAGGTCAGAACGTGGGAGAAATTTCTAAACACATTTAGTCGTAAGCTAGAAGTGAGTTTCTTTCCTCCCGAGAAAGATTTTCAACACCCTTCCACGTGAAAAATGTATAGGGAATCCAGAGGTTAATTAGTGCGGTACGCTTGGCCGTACGCCGATGATTGCCCAAGTGTATGCATGACTGACAATATTGTGCATTTTGTTCTTTTACCAGGCAGAGGAAATGATAGCCGAGATCAAGGACGCATTTAAAACAAACCTACCCCAAGTGAAGTGGATGGATGAGGAAACGAAAACCAAAGCATTGAACAAGGTACAACTCTTTTTTTCTCCATGGAGTCCACAAATAATGCACGAATTACGAATTCTAAACATACGCGCAACATCTTATCGAATAGATTTATTCTAGCTGCATGATGTTTCTGATGACGTTGTGGCCCCCTTTCACCGTTTTTCTTTAGATTACGGCAACCTTTGACATGATCGGTTATCCAAAGTGGATAGAAGATCCAGAAAAGCTGGATAAATATTATGAAAATGTAAGTAGGGGAAATGGGGCGTGAGTACAGCTTACGTAGGATGTATGCATAATACAATATTCTGTCCCGAAATTTAAACAAAGAAAGGTTTTGGCCCATAATTTTACGCTTACTTTAAAGAAACTAGTTAGACAGTTAAGCTATGCACTGATTAAACAATACCCAATTTATACTCATGTTAAATTCATGAACTTTTAGTGAGGTGACAATGTCATTTCACAACAAGGAACATATTAGTTTGATATGAAATAGAAATTTCGTAGAACATGTCAGTTTGATACGATCTCGCATCTAGATCCCGGGGGAGGATACATATTCAGAGCATTTAGTTGGAAGCAGATCTTTCTAAATGCGGTGAGAGAATGGCGAGATCATCGTAATTGTAAATTCATGACAACCAAACAGGCAATGTGAAAATGAACGGAATTTATAGTTTCAAACAGCCTGTTTAACAATTTTTGCCTCATGCTTGCTTACATTTTGATTACGTTTCGTTCTGTTGTTTCTTTGACAGCTTACAATCGGTCCTGATAATAGTTTTGAGAATTACCTGGAAGCCAGAAGATTTTTCCACAACAAGTCTATGAACAGGCGCGGAAAGCCAGTCGACAGACAAGAGTTAGTGTATAATTTATCATCCCCATTATCAATTCTTGCTGGTCTCTTTCTTGTGGCCTGGCTGATATGCAAAGGCAATGAGATGAAAAACTCAGGTTCCTCTGGAAGTCATCTTTAATTTATAAAATTTACCTAAATAGGTAAATCTAGGCACTTGACAATTAGGGGAAATTTTATCATCTAAAGAGGTAAATCGCAGTAGGATCACAACTCATGCAGTAAGGCGCACTCTCATTGTCAATTTTTTTAAGTTAACTCACGTTCTAATAGTCGATCAAACACCTTTGCTTTTGTTGGCTCGAGAAGAGATGCTCGTATTCCACCACAGCTTCAACTGTGGCTACAAGTTCTGCTAGTTCAGACCTGCTCCCAATGCGTTTTTTCTCACCTTGCTGTTGTTTCTTTTATCAGATGGCACATGACTCCAGCCGATGTTAACGCGTACTACAACTCTCCTAACAACTACATAGGTTCGTTACTCTCAAATTCATCTTCACTTGAACTTTAATTTTTAGTTTAGCGACTTCTAAGGTAAAGTCATTTCCTGATTTTACTTTTTCAATTGTCTGTCCAAACAGCTTTCCCGTCGGGAATTCTACAGCGACCGTTCTTTGATCCAGAATTTCCACAGTAAGTCAATTAAACATATATTCACTTAAAGGTGTAACATTATCTTAGTATCTCATTTCTACATCCTGGAATAGATATACTACATACAGGCAGTTTTTCTTTGAACACCATCTAAACCAAGAAAGCTCTGAAGCCTTTTTTGCATGCGTGATAGGTCGACAATGTAACCAAGGCATTCATAACTTTCTTCAAGGGCGTCAAAATACAAGAGTGGTAACAATAAAACAATAAGCCAAGCAAGGAAAAGAAGATGGCGACTGGTACATTTATCCATAGTAATTCGTCGCGCACAAAACGGTTAACAAAACGCAATAATAAAAACGTAGAGAAATTTTTTAAAAGCTTCAAACCTGGCATACAAAATGCCGTTAATACAGTGACAAATATTGCCAAAATATGGCTTTCTTTGTGTGTAATATAAGGGCTGTGTTAGGTTCGCAAGGTATTGTGGTAAAATGTACAGCCACCAAAATTTTTTTCCTACGGAGGACTGGGAAAGGTTTCTTCTTGCCAGCTAGCACTTTCCTGTCAGTCGATAGATTCCATAATCTTTGAAACTCAGTTTTCCATGCATCGGGAAAAAAGTTTAAATTATGAATTGCTTTCTCAGGTCGGTCAACTATGGAGCAGTCGGCGTGGTAATGGGACAAGAATTAACTCATGGATTCGACGATCGAGGTAAATTTTTAGACATAGAAAGCAACAGTCAATTGGTGGAAAATACCGTTTATCTTAGGTTGGTTGTTTTGATTGTGTGGTCTTGTATGGCATCTTAGAGGGACCTTTCGAGTACGTAAGACACGAACCACAACATCACAAGCAGTGAAAAGCGCTACATGATACCGGAAATGATAGCCAACTACACTTGGTAGGAAGATGTTTGTAAGAATTTATCCAAGTTTCTGCACAACACGAGAAAACGTAACATGCAGATTCCATCAAACATTCTTTACTTAATTTGACAATCAGTTATAGAGCGGTTTTCAATTGAGTGTCGTAAAACCAAAACCAAGGCAATCACAAAGGACACAGACAATCCAGTGAACCAATCAAAACTCGAAGTAATTACATGTAGCAGACGCGGAGCGCGGGAAAACGTGTGCGAACGAGTCACGATTGGTTTTGGCTTTACTTCTGATTGGCTGAAAAATTGGCGCGAGTTTTTTCAGCCAATCGTGTAGCGTAGTAGGTGCAAAACTAATTACTTTTCGACACTCAAATGAAAACCGCTCTATAACATAAACTTTCCTCACATGTGGAATTTTTTCGCAGGTCGCTTGTTTGACGAGCATGGTAACCTGGCCAGTTGGTGGAACAACCAATCAGTGAGAGCGTTTCAAGAACACGCTTCATGTATGGTGAATCAATATGCCAACTTCAGTGTGGCCGGAATGAACGTAAGTGCTCGACCACAAATTGAACAAACACTTTTAAATAAAACCCTAAGATTGCAGATTTCCGAGACACTACTTTGTTTCTCCCCATTTTAGGTCAATGGAAAACAAACACTTGGGGAGAATATAGCAGATAACGGAGGACTTAAGCTCGCCTACGCCGTAAGTTCACACCTAAATTCGCTTTTGATAGTTTACAAACAAGCCGGGTATTATAAGATAAATTCAATTGCCAAAACAAGATAAAAAAAAATTCTTCTTTGTAGTGACTTTCCGTTTTCTGATTAAAATGATCGCCAATATGAGCCAACATTCTCAGTCAGTCAATATTTTCCTTCTTTCGCCAACCAATCACGAGGTTTTACAACAAATTGCAATCGTCTCATTGCAATATTTTGCCTTTTGTGATTGGCTAAATGAGATGATTTTATGCCAATCTTAGATAAAGATAAGAACTTTATTAACGTGCCAAAGTCGCTAGCATACAATGTATACTAATTGGGGACACCTAACTACGATTACTTATCTAATAATTAATTAGAGAATACTTAATTAATTAGAGAATACTAGCCTCCATAGATATTGATAGGTTGCCTTCTTGTTGACACTCAACAGGCGTACCAGACCTGGGTCGCAAAGAACAACAGAGAATTAAAACTACCGGGCTTGGATTTCACACCAGAACAACTGTTCTTTCTTGGATTTGCGCAGGTGAAGTAATTTTCAATTTCTTCAACTTTGCACGTATCTCTTACAATCATCGCTTTTCGGTGTAGTCAGTGATGACCGACCCACTTTCACCGAAAGCAAGGGTTTAATTTTTATATAACCCTGGTATATATCAGACACACATATCGCTCAGGGGTTAGTGATGATCTCAAACTGGGATAAACTTATCCCAAGGAATTCAAAATGAATATATCGTAGGATATAAGAAGAGAGTGCAGCCGTCAGCAGACGCTAATTAAGAAAAAAATGGACTCTTACATTTCTCGTCTCATTTCTTACATTTAGCATTTGCTTTTTGAACCTTTCAAATATATGAATGAGTCGCAGATCTAGAGAAAGTCACATTAGCCTCTCTGCTTTTCATTCGGGTAGTCTATCCTGGTAGAATTGGAATTTGGAGATGTTGGTTTTTTTCTACCTTAATTTGTTGGAATATTTGCTTCACTTCAGTTTGTTGTGTTTTTTTATAACCTTGACCTTCTTTATTCTAGGTTTGGTGTTCAGCAACGTCTGACGAACGTGCCCAGCATGCTTTGCTAACCGATGTTCACAGCCCTGAGAAAGTTAGGTTAGTAGCTCAGTTGACTGAAGTCAAGTCAAATTTGGGAAGAGACTATTACAGTCAAACCAAGTGAAGCGTACCCCTCAAGATTACATTAATGAATTAATTATTTGAATAGTGAACCCGCTAGTCGTTTCAAGAATGCAATAATGAATTGACTATTTGAATATTGAACTTGCTAGTCATTTCAAAAATCAACAGTAAATTGATTTTTTTTGAACATTAAACCCATTAGCCGTATTCTTGGAACCACTAGTGGATCCAATTTTCCAATAATAAACTCATTATTGCATTTTTGAACCGACTAGCGGGTTCAATATTCAACTGAATGATCAATTCATTAATGTAATCTTGAGGGGTACGCTTCACTTGGTTTAACTGTAAACTTGAGGAGAAAACACGTTTCCTCGTCTTATATATACATAATAATTCAAATTTTTAATTTTTGTATTCCATCATACCACCTCCCAACAAAAGTGATAAAACTGCAAACAGTTTCTGAATATATCTTTAAAAAGTGAAAGTTGAGCTTTAGATAGACACATCTGTATTTATTAACTAAACGCTTCAGATCAAAATATGTAAAATAATTGATTCTAAGAAGTAAATGTGTTTCATCTGATTCAGTTTAACGTTATTTTGTAGAGTTCTGGCAGCAGTCGCCAATTCAAAGGAATTTGCCGAGGCTTTCCAATGTCCAGTGAACAGTTCTATGAACCCTGTCCACAAGTGTCACGTCTGGTGATGGATTAAGACAACAAACAAAACAAACAAAATAGTATCTTTAAGCTATGTTGAGCTATATTTAGAAACGGCAGGAAATTTTTCTTATTCTGCGTTGCTTATTTAAGAACAGCTAGGACATTGATTTTTAACAAAAGCCACAAACGATTCTAGTGACGAAGTCGGAGTCGGAGTCGGGGTCGGAATCGTAGTCGGAGTCGCAAGAGATAGCTTACGAATTAGTGAAAATCGAAAATCGGAGTCATAAGCGGAGTCGTAAGCCCGACGGAATCGGAGCCGGAAGAATCTGAACGCATCCATTTCGTCAGATTCCGTTTACGACTCTGTCAATTACGATCTCAGAAAACTAGTAGATTGTCGGAGTCGGAAGCAAAAGCGGAGAACCAACCAATCACAAGGTGCTGAATCGAGCATTGTAATTGATTTATTTTTCTGCTTCTGCTTCCGACTCCGACGATCTAGTTTTCACGAGATCATAAGCGACGGAGCCGTAAGTAGAATCGGTGTTCTGCGTCCGACTCGGTTTAATTTCCATTAGGTCGTATTCTGTCGTATTGCTCTACGCTTCTGATCACGACTTCGTCGCGAGCGAAAACCAGCCTTTAGCAATGACTAAAACTGTATACTGAACAATGGGGTTTTAAAAAATTCAGAATTACAAAGACAGTGCATAGAAAACGTGAATCAAAATCATGATAGCGGAATATGATAATAACCTCCAGCTCGTATTTTGTAACTGTAATCTATCACTGAATAATGCAATCTGAGAAATCTATTCTCTACTCTTGCGCACTATGAAAACGCACCGTTCTGTTGGTTTCCACTCTCTGATAATGGGTCTTCATTTCTGTTTTTGTATGTTTTAAGACCTGCGTTTGCCATACTGGCTGACTTGGTTTCTGATTGGCCAAACAATTGAAATGTCCGACGACAGAGTTACTTTAGGCTCGATTTCCGTCGCTTACTCGAGTCCAGTCTACGCTCCTCCCAGAGAGAGTTTGGGGGAGGAGCGCGGACTCCTTTCTCAAACAGCGGCTGGTAATCGAGCCTAGAGTCACTTACTTACATGGATTCATAACTTTGATTCGAACGATGGTGGATTTAGCTTTTCAGCCAATAAGTTTTATTCGTATTCCCGGACCGCTATTATGGACACTGAAAAACTGTATTTATATCTGAGCTAAAAAACGTGTCTTATCCACTCCAGAACAGAAATCTGATTAATCGTAATACACTACGGCGAGTGAGCTTTGCTGTAACGGGCTTGCCTACGAGTAGAGTAGGGTGACAAACATTTTGTTATTATAAACATTAAGAAAATCTCTAACATTCTTAAGTGCAGTGGGTTAATATAGCAACGAAGGATTAATATTTAAAATGTCATCGTGATAAGTTTTTTTCGTCAAAAAGAACGCCAATTGGAGATGTTAAAGACACTGGTTCAAAAGGTATTTTTCTTAAAATAGCTTTAATATAATAAAAGTAATTGTATTTAACTGATACAGGTATTTTTTTAGACTAGGGGGTAAGTTCAGTAGTGTCTTAATTCAAATGAACATGAGGGCTTTTTGTGAGTTTTAAGATATCAAAGTTGGTTCACTCTAAAATCAGCTTCAAGAGGACTAGTTATAATTGTGGTCGAAGTATGTCGCATAGAAAAGAAAAATATGACAAACGGGTTCACTGTTGAAATCAAATGCATTAAAAAAAATATACTAATTATACTACGTCTAATATTATATTATAAAAATGAGCAATGCCCGTGCTATCACGTCTTTTAAAAATAGCGAAAAGTTTATAAATAGATATTAGATAGTGGTTTCAAAGATAGCTTTTTCTGGTACAATAAATGTTAACCTTTAAGATCCTAGGTTTTACCTGGTTAGCCCCGAAATGTTCTTATATGTGCGGTATCTACCTTCAATTAAGGTAATTTATTTTCTAACTAAGAACCTGTTTCAGTTTTCAGGCTCGACAGGTTCTTTTAAGTTAGTGATTAAAATCATACGACATTAGTCGCCAACAAAACAAAATTTCGTCCATAATCGATCCATAACCATTTTTCGAACCTAGTCCTTGAGGCTTTCTTTAAGAGCTACAAATATTAAAGCTTATAAAATACTTATTAAAGCTTATAAAATACATACAAAACTTGTATTTAATCTACGTATTTAATCTTAAAACTGACAAAGAATTGCAGAATAAAACTTATCATCAGATTGCTTTCACGTTTTCTGTTTACTCTGAGGCATGATCATGTAAAATGGGTTACATTTTGGAACACATTTTATTAGTATCTCCGATTCAAAGTTTTAACTTACGGTATGTTATGTTAATCATCTCAAAGCTATGAATTCAGAAATTCACTGATTACAAATTGTTAATTTGTGATCTCGACATTAAATAGCTAAATCATTTGCCATAAGGTTCATTTGAAGAGAGCTACACTAGTCAAGTTCAATTAACGAGTCAAATTTTGTATTACACTTTTCCTTTTTCATGATAGCGTTTGACTACAATTGTTGAAAAAAATATTATCAGTTAGGTTTTAAACGAAACAATAGGGAGTTTACGAAACCACGACGGCGACGCCGAGGACAACATCAATTAAAAAATGAAGTTATACTTTACCTACGAATCTCGCAATACTGTAAAGTCATTTACTTTGTTGATCACTCTCAAAAGTAAATCCTGAACACAGCAATAAATTTGAAATAAAATTTTAAAAAAAGCCGTCGTGGTTCACGTTCTCCAAACAACGCAGAATTTGATCATTTCAAAATGATGTCTTGCAGAGGACGGCAAAGAAATGTACCAAGAATTATAACGCACGTGCACAGCCATTGTATTGTTCATTAATTCTTTTGTTCAGTGACGTTTCCGTTTCCGTTTCCGTTGTGGTTTCGTAAACTCTCTAAATTTCCACTACAGACGCGTCACAAAGCCAATATTTGCATTTTGAAACAATGAGGAAGGCAAAAACTACCGGTATTCCTTGTTGGGCGTCGCCATCTAGCGTGTTCTCCATAAAACCCGTAAACGGAAAAGGGAAAAACTAAGGAAAAAAAGTCTGGATATGATTATTCTAATCAGTGAAATAAAGCAATGTCCTTCACTAATTTGACTGCGGATAGAATGGGTTGGAATCTATATTTTTCTTGTGTTGGCGACCTCTGGATGCAACAAGATGGGGCTCAATTGGCCGCGAAATGGTAATATTTTCATTCTTCACATTCCTTTTCACAGTGTTACGTCGAAATGGAGCTTCTGCTTCAGTTGTGTGTAATTAATAGAGGTCGGAATTTGTGAGGAAACGTAATGGATGTTGAGTAATATGTACTTATTGAATGAGTGAGAGGGCCGGACGGAAAAATATTCAGCTCGAGGACAGGACGTGCGGACCGAGCGCAGCGAGGTCTGCACGTCCTGACCGAGAGCCAAATATCTTCCCGTCCTGCCCGACCTAACTCAGTCAATAAGCATTTTATCATATGACCACTTAATGTTGAAACTCTGTTAGAACCTAGGCTCGATTTCCAGCCGTTTTGTGAGTCCTTACCAAGTAATTCGTGCCATTACGAATTCCCGCGGTGACACGTAAACAGACATTTGGATAGCTGAGTGAAACGCCTCATTTGAAATTTTCAATTTTGTTTGCTCTGAAAGAACTGGTAGAGGAAGAAGATTCACGCTTATCGATCCACCATTTTGGAAAATTGCTGCTCTAGTGCAGTTTAGTGATATGAAATAAATTTCTCAAGGGGAAACCGTTTAGATGGATTTTTTTCTGGAACAGAACTGAGTGTTGTTTCAAGAAAATAGCGAAGAGAGCACATGGCGCAGCAAAAAGAGCTAGAATTATTTCCAGATATCCCAAAATTTTCTAAATATCTTAATACTTTCTAAATATCCCATAAAATATTCGGATATTTGTGGAAAGAGAGTATTTATGTGGGAGATCTGTTTACACTTGTCAAAACAAACTTTGACAGTTTCTGAACGCATTACATTACTAGTTACTAAAGTGCAGTTTTCAACATATCACTTTGCAATGAATTAATAATTCATATATTTTTCGTGCAATCGATGGAAAACAGATGTTGTGGAATGAAGATCAGATAAGACTTCATTGCTATGATGTAACGTCACTGACCCGTGCCAAGAGTAACGAGGGCTCAGTTTAGTTGGACTCTGAAGAAAGATTTTCCCTTCAAACAACAGAAAAGCATATTGTTCTTTCGAAGCAACGACTGGTTTTATGCCCTCCTTGATTTCATTCTAATCTGAGCAATGTTTGTTTTGAATCAGTCTTTCGATAGTCATACAGGAAAACGCCGCATCGCCGGCATTATCGAAATCTAGATCAATTTTGGCCAAATAACTTTGATTTCTATTGAGATTGGTTTTCGATAATTTGCCATGTGAAATGTTCTTCTAGTCAGTATAATCTACGAGCTCCAATGCAATGTTATTTTCCTTTTGCCTTTCTAAGATAAGGTGACACAACACATTTTTTTCAATTTTTGTATGTTTTAGCAATTCGTAATTAGGCTCTTCTTAGTGCTTTACTTCAAGCTTTTGCTTTAATTCCTTTATATTGTAAATAATTCTGAACACACTCAACGCGTCACTTATACCAGTTTGGTTTTAGCCGCAGTTTTTTTTTCTGATTTGACTTTCTGCCGTAACTTTTTTATCATGCGTTTTCTTTTCGCAATTGGTCTCAAAATTTGTTTTTAACTTCATTTTCACAAGCAAAAAATCCGAGATCTAAGGTAAACCGCCAATTTTAATTATATAACCTCGAGCGAAATGTAATATCGTCAAAAATAAAAATAATCAATGTGGTGAAATATCTAGAGAGATTTTTCTGACTTTCCTTCATGTTCAATAATTGTTACTAATTTTACGTTGTCTCTGCCCCTTTTAAGGCATGTGAAATCGAAATAACATGGTCACCGCCGCCGAATTCGAAGTCAAGCCAACATTGACAGGCTAAATCTTAAAGATTCAAGTAATAGGCACTTAAAATAATGCTTTTACCAACCAGATGTTTACAGCGTGTTCACCAACCAATGATGAAACAATCGTGGATTTTGACGGGTTTCCAAGTTTATAATGAAATAAGTGCGATCATCGGCTGCGATTTCGTAATTCTAAAATATTCGTGAACTGGTTTTCTCAGACTGAGTTTGGTATTGTAGATCGAGGTTTCCTCCTGTATGCGTGGAAAAAAGAATAAATGATATTTTTGTCGCGCGACCGAGTGCTTACCCCGAATACATTTATTTCAGATCCGGAAGCGACAATCACACCCTCAAATTGTCTTCACTTATCAATTTTAATTTGACAGCTTTAAATTGCTGTTGGTTCGGAACGTTTCAAAGTCCGCAATGTATAAACATTGTGTCAATGTGTTTTTTCGGGAATTATAATTTTTTCTCTCAAGCTGTCAACTCGAAACTCTGCTGAACAATCAATCAATAGGAAAGATTCCTTCCTGACGCGATCCTCGTCACAGTTATGGCCTTCGCGTGCAAATTTATGCCCGTGGTAAGTCAAAACAATTTTTGCTGCAATTTCAAAGACGTAAACGTGCGCAATATTCTTGGCCGGAATATTGTAGCTTTGGCATAGAACAATAAGTATAAGTCCATTTAAAGCAATGTTAAACCACACCAGACGAACGAATACTTTTTTTAATTTTTAGTGTAGCGAGGTGACGAATTGGCTGACATGACTGGACAAATTTACTGACTTCAGTCTCAAAGTTTGTATTGTAAATTTTAACTGGACTTGGTTTGTTTGGATTTGGGAATAATTTTCCTCTAAAGTAATTGTAAAGTAAAGGAAAGCCTAGTCTAGTCACTACCCTTTCGAAGATTTTTCTTGCTATAAAATTGGCATTTTTGCGAAGAACAACGTTTTAATTTCAAATATTCCGCAGTTCTTTATTTCTGGCTGTGGGAGATTTATTTGATCCAAAAAAAGACGACTCGGGAATCTATCAAATACTTAAAAATTCATCTAAGAGTGTTATTCACAAGAAAATTGAAATTAAATGCCTCGACTTGTCGGTTAGGCGACAAGAAATCAAAATAAGTTGTGGGTTTTTCTTACTCTAGATTAAAGAATATTTGTTTTTCAATTTTCCATTTCTGTTATTAGCTCAGGCGTTTCAAAGAACACCTAAAAAACGACGGCATCGATCAAGGTTTTCAGCCTGTTTTTGTATTTCCCTAATTGAAATGATGAGCTTTTTCTTTTAGAAAAATTTATACTTAAAGCTCTTACACAAGTGACAGCTGTAATAGCCGATAATTAAAGTCAGTGACACTTCCTATTGTTAAACATGACGTAGTTACACGGCTATTGGTCGAACTGAAGTTGCATTATTTTTGTATCATTTGTGTTTTAATGCTACCATAGTTGGTAGAGAATGCGAACTCATCTTCCGATCAGTTTTAATTTAACGAGCATTTTGGAAGTAATCTTAAGGCGCCTGTTGGGAAAAGAGGAGATTATTCCGATCCAGCGGTTCAAAAATTGCATTAAATGTGTTTTTTCTATGATATACGATTTTGCCCATAATGTAAGAGATGGCCGGTAATTGTTTCCCTTCTTTTGATAAGTTACGACCCGTAAGGGCCATAACGTGAATGAAAATGAATCAAACTCAGCATTGATAGACCGCCAGAAAAAGAGCGGAGGAAAATGCCAATAAAAAAATGATCCTAAATTGTGACAAAGTGCGTGCCAATCAGTCGTTGCGATTTCCTAGCATGCTCAGGAAATTACTTGCACTTCACCAAAAGAAGTGAAAAATTCAAATTGTTACTATGTTTTTTCTTTTAATTTATCGGAGCTCATAATATAATTTATTACAACACTATTAAGCACTATGTTCTTGGTCTGGTTTTCTTTCCCTGTGCTCTCTTTTAATTTTTAATAAAAATAACTTTAAATAGCTAGTAGGGGCTAATTAAAAAACTTAATAGGTCTTTCAGCCTCAAGGTTCTTTTCTTTTATAATAATAACTTTCCATCTATCCTATTAATCGACTTCTAATGTACTAAATATCTTCCATGCAAATGTTTCTTTCGAGCCAATAAAAATTATTGTTATTGTAATAAAGACATTGTAACGAAATTTTAGTGTTGTTAATATGTCCTGAGACAACCTCTCTGGTATATCGTAGTATTTCAAAATCCTCCGAGTCTCATATCTCTTGGAGTTTCGCTTTCCCTGTCACAAATAAGCTATCTGTTGGTGTTCACGTGTTTTTCTTTTTGTAGCAATGTTTTGGCACCAATCGTGGCACGAGAGCTAAAAACGAATCCACGCAATGTTCGGTCAGCGGAGAGGGCTTAACCTTAGCAGTGGTTGGCGAACCAGCAAAGTTCATCCTGCGTACTTCAGGTCCAGACCTCCTCTTCTTAGAGCTCCAAATTACTCGAATCGTCAAGAAAGGAAATGAGACTCTAATTCATCTCACGGAGCCAATCCCTGTCGAGTACGAATGCTTGGGAGAGAATCTACATAGCGTGTGCTATTATCCTAAAGAAGAAGGCGAATATCACGTGGCTGTCACGTGGAAGGGCACCCACGTCTCTGGAAGTCCGTTTGTTGCAAAGGTAGTTAAACGTGAAGCAGTAAAAATCAGTGTTGAGCTGGAACAGAAGGAAAACAAGGAAGAGGTGTGGCAATTGAGAGATGACGTCAAGTCGTCAAGGCGACAGAGGGGTAACAGAGTTTGACCACGCATGCGCGTTTGGTATCCAGTGTGTTAGTGAGAAGCTGTTGATGAGAAGGAACACAATGAACTCATGTTGGTTAAAACGTTTGTAATCGGCAATGGAACCGCTGTTTTCGGCGACCAAGGGAAGGAAACGTGGATGAACTTTGCAAAAGTGGTATTATACCCTGTTAGCTCCCGTTTATTCCAACGTGGACAAGCCTATTAACCAAGCTCAAACTGAAAATCATCTTCTTATTGGCTGTTTTTTTTTTTAATTTTAAATGCATTGAAATTTAAAGGGAAATAAGTATTTAACCCTATGTTATCCAACTTCGAGAACAAGTCACGTTTATGATTCATAGAAGTTTCCTTGGCTGGAACATTTTGGTTGCGTATTTCATCAAAGAACTGCTTTTCTGTCAAAACCCCCCAATTATGAACATTAAACTGGTACCTTCACCACACTTTACTTGAATATTGGAATTATGTGTCTTTATTTTAACATCAAAATCTGAAAGAATGGACTGGGGCTCCGGACTAGGGACTGGGAACAGGAGACTGGGGAAGTCGGGAAACCGCGGAACTCAAGAGAAAAAAAAAACCAAAGAAGGTAGAGAAGCTTCCAGTGTAATTCCTCAAGAGCATGTATTGTGGTTATATTGCAGAATTCTTTTTACAGGAAAGGCGCGGAAAAGGTGTGTTAGCTTTCGAAATGAAAAAGTGAAGAGTTTCCAAACGTTTTCTCTCTTGCACCTGTAAAGCTGGTGAGAATTTTCCTGACATAAAAAAGAACCAAGAATGGAACAAATAAAATAAAACCTAACTAAAAAAGCCGCAGAATTTAATACTTTCACATTTTCTTTTACGTAAAAAGATATTTTGCTCGTTCTTAGTGTTTCTTAGTACAGCGATCGTTAACGTCCGATTGTCAAATAATTCAGAGCGAAAATGCTTTTGAGTTTCCTCGGATTTAAAGCAATAAACATTCCCTTTCAGCTTAACTATTCATTTATTTGTTCAGTCAACAACAAAAAGTAACTATATGTCATCAGTTGCAAACTTTAATTACGACACATGCATTCTATATATCCCTCTAATTTGGTGTATAAAATTGAATGCTCAAGGTCGTATATACCACTTCACGCGTGTTGGACATGAGGCTTTTACTTCTTGTTGCCCTTTTGGCAGGGCTCACCAACAAGATCGACGGTAAGACCCGAAACAATAACAAGTACTTCTCGTATAACTGTGAATCTATCTCTTAACACAACAACACTGACTCGCGACTCCTCACCATATCCTATGCAACATACATACCGAAGTTAGGTACAACTAATAGTTGAACGTATTTTCGAAAATTGATGGGACTCTGAAAAAGACAACTATCACCACTTTACGTTAAAGTGTAGACGAGCTAAGTTACCATCGTAGATCGTTCTTTTGTTTGAGCTCTAGGACATGAACTTTATTTTTAGATCTTGTGCTTGTTACTAGCTACATAAAATGCTAACTACAGTTGACTTTTTCATTTCGGCATGGACAAACATTTCTTAGGATTCTACTGCAATTTTGACCGTGGCCAATGTGATTTTGTTCAGCGACAAGATGATAACTTCAATTGGATAAGGAAAAAAGGTGCAACATCTTCCGGCGGTACAGGACCACATTCAGACGTGAAGGGAAGAGGTAAGGTAGCCTGAAAAAAAGCGAACTGAATTCCTGTGGATATTCCTTCCTTGATTGCTATGGTACATAAATAAAACACGAAGGCAAATTAGTTCTGAACATTGAGAAGTGTGTAGCACTCAGTTTGGAGTATTCCTAGATTTATTTCCCGTGGTGAGGGACAGCAGTTAGAAACTCTTAATAGTTTATAAATTAATTTATTTAAGTGTCCCCAGTTAGCTCTAAAAGCTAAATATTTTAGACACTCAAACAAAGTTCAGTGTATGTATGTTCCACCTTCTTCAGTTTGAGGAAAATGATAGGAATCCTCGCCTTCATTTTCCCGGCCATCCCGAAAAACACGAAGGGGGGATGATGGGAGGGGGGGGGGGGG